AGTGGGCGATCGACAGAGTAATATTACGGCGCGGAAAAGGTAATTCTCGGGTCCGCCGACAGAGTCCATGCGGTGTATGAAAACAAGGGCATCAACTACACGGATCTCCTCGACGGCAAGCGTGTGCTCAAGTGCTCCGATTTCAACTAGTCGTGGTCCATCTCAATCGAGTTCAGCACACCCGGCGTCTCGGAGCCCATTGTGCTAACGGCCTCGGGCGAGGACCTCCGCAAGCCCGGCTTCCCGGCGGCGCCTGACGCATGCTGGCCGCCTTTCGAGGACAGCGGCGCCGAGGGCTTCACGCTCATCGGCACGCCGTTCCTGAGGAACTTCTACACAGTTTGGGACTTTGGCGCCAAGGATGAGACGGACTTTGAGCCGACTTTGGGATTCGCCCACCTACGTAAGTAAAAGATGAATGGTGTTTTAACATACAGGCGGCCCGCCTCCTCTACATTATGAATAGTAATTGAAGCGTTCATTTTTCTTCCGTTCTCAAATGCAGTCCAAGACCCACGCCGCTGCAGGCGTGTGCCGCGTGCGCCGACTGGAAGACTCTTTAACTTCAGCACTTGTTGTGACTACGTATCAGTTAGCACGGCGCTGCGGGCGCTGGCGCGCGTGGCGGCCGAGCTTATCTATTATTCAAAGTCAATCATGCAGCGTGGGCGGGGTGTTTGCGGCAGCCCCGCGCCCTCGGAGAAGCACCATTCCTCGACAGACTGCTGAGAGCGGCCTGGCCAGTCAGGTGGCGGGTAATAAGCAGGCTTCGAGCCCGTTCGACTATCAGGCCATCGAGGGGGGTTTAGCATGTTTGGCATATCGTTCTTTTCTTCTCCTTCTTTGTGACTGTGAATTGGAAGTTGAAGAGAGTTCAGTCAAGTTCGAGGTCACAAACACATCAGCAAACAGACGCGGTGCAGAGCTCATCGCCATGGACACGACGAGTGACTTTAGCCCGTACCGCGCGGACGGCAAGCTTGTGAGTGACGTCGTGAATGCCACGGAGTCCGGCAGGGGCCACTCACTGACAGAAGGTTCCAGTTCCGCTTTGTCTGCGTCGTGACGGGTGCCTCACAGCCGGTGGGACAGGCCATCATCGAGGGAGTTTGGGAATACGTGTGCTCATCCAAGATCCCGTCCTCACAGTGCTGACCTGGCGGCCGGCCATGCTTTCCAACTCACGGCGGCCCCCTAATTTACGGTACGCAACTACGCCCGGGCCTGAAGGCGTTGCTTTTCCCCCGGAAACCAAAAAAGGCAGCGGATTGGATAAGTGTGTGACTGATGAAGGAAGTGCCGACAGCCTGTGACCATTCCGGCCAGCGGACGAAAGCTACGCACCCTTGCTCAAGCAAAGCTGGGCGCAGCACGCGCCCAACACCAAGATCATCCCGTACCCGTTCCACATTGCCAAGGAAGAGGACACGCTGACGCTCATCGACGAAATCCTCGCGGCGTTCGGCCGGCTCGACGTGTGGGTGTCGTCCTCGGGCCTGCTGGGCCCGGCCGCCATCTCGGAGACGACGCCGCAGGACCTGCAGCGGTGCTTCGAGGCACACTCCATGGCACCCTTTTACGCACTCAAGTACGCGCCGCCAGCCATGGGCAAGCTGACGGAGAAGCAGGCGTACCCGAACGCGGCACCAAAGACGCATTCGTACGGCAGCGTCATCGTCGTGGGCAGCGTCGCGGGGACGTATGGCGGGTGCTGGGGCCCGGCGTACACCATGGCGTCGCACGCGGCGCTGGGGGTCGTGAGGGCCGGCGTCGCTGTGCTCAAGGGCACGGGCGTCAGGGTGAACTGCATTTCGCCGGGTCAAATTGACGTCGGGGTCAACCTGCACGGGGTGAGTCCTGCGTTTGTTCCTTTTTTTTCGTCTCATTGGTGTCCCAAGCGAGGGAGCATTCTGCTAACGGTTCATACGCACACGTAAAGACCGACGTCAAGGGAATGAATGCGCAGTTCCCTCCGGCGAGCTTGCAGACCAAGGAAGCGTCGGAGGCGACCGTCGGCTTGGAGCGGGCGGGGAACCCCGAGGAGGTCGCGAGAGTCGCGGGCTTCCTGGCCTCGGGCTTCTCGTCGTACGTCAATGGTGCCAACCTCATCGTTGACGGTGGTGCATCGTGAGTGGTATCTATGACTGGCATGGAGAATTCGAAGAGAACTGACTTTTCCATGTAGTGTCATGAACCCTCTGACGATTCCCATTTGAGGCCCTGGGTAGGCGTTGTAGGATGACAGCCTTCGCATCTCTGGCAAAAACGGATGGTGGGAGTTTGCATCAAGCTAGGCAACATGTTTCTTGCCGTTTCTTCGGGTGCCTATTCGTACGGTCGGTCGCGGAAGCACGGTGACAGCTAGCCATAAACAAATAAATACTCTTCCTGATGACAACGATGCCGTTTGCGCGAATCCGTGTGATATTTGAAGAAATTGGGTTGATGGGGGCTGCAAGACTTGGCGCGAACAGCGAGGTACAGAAGGGGAAGGCAGCGGCGTTTCGGTGGAGTCCGGGCCACTCCTATCAGCTGTGCCCTCTAACTCCAAGGCTCTATCTAAGCCCTCTGGGCCCTTGCGCTCGTTCGTCCCAGCGCCCGTACGCCCAGTGTGTTTTGTCACAAGACTTTGATATCTCAAACCTCCCGTCCACCTCTCCCTCTCCTCCCTCTTTCACTTCCACTTTACATCCGCATCTTCAACCAAGGAAAGGAGAAGAAAAGAAGAAAGATGCCTAGCTACAAGACGTACTCTATTCAAGACGAGTCCCACCTCGCCGAGGTCGCCTCCAAGTACGGCCTCACCGAGGACCAGGTGCAGACGCTGCACGATAGGTCCGTCGCTGCTAAGAGCACGGCGTACTGCCCCTACAGCAAGTTCCGCGTCGGCGCCACCATCCTCTCCAACGCCGGCCAGTTCACAGACGGCGCCAACGTTGAGAACGCTTCCTACGGCGTCGGCACCTGCGCCGAGAGGGTCGCCTTTGCCAAGGCCGTCCAGGAGGGCATCCGCGGCTTCAGCGCCGTCGGCGTCGCTGCTGACATTGAGCCTACCGTCAGCCCCTGTGGTGCGTGCCGACAGTTGTGAGTCGCTCCTCTGTATTGGCTCGCGTTGCTCAATTCCGTGGCATTGTTATTGGTTGTGGTCTCATGGAACTGATAAGCGCAGCCTCCGTGAATTCCGCACAGTCGAGACGCCAAGATTTATTTTCAACATCAAGGGCGACTATGTTGTCTTGACACCGGAGGGGGTGACTGTCCCCCCCCCCCTCCTTCCGGTGACCTGTGGTGCGGATATTAGGTGTTAGGTCTCATCAAGCATTCAGCTGACGAAAC